GGGCAGGGCAGAGACGGGCCAAGGGGAGACAGGCCAATGTGGAGGACATGTTGTATGGAGAGGGGGTGTTTGAGTAAGATAGGGGAGGGGGAAGGAGTTGAAGGGGAAAGGAGAAAAGGGAAGGAGTTGAATGGGGAGTGTGTGTGAGTAGGATGGGGAGGAGGAAGGAATTGAATGGGGAAGGAGTTGGATAAGGGAGAGAAGCGGGAAGGAGTTGGATAGGGAAGGGGGGGAGTTGAATGGGGAAGCAGTTGGATGGGGAAGGAGTTGGATAGGGGAGGGGGCAGGAGTTCAATGCGGAAAGAGTTGGATGGGGAGCAGGAAGGAGTTCAATGGGGAAGGAGTTCAATAGGGGAGGGGGCAGGAGTTGGATGGAGAAGGAATTGAATAGGGAGGGGGAAGGAGTTGAATAGGGAGGGGGAAGGAATGGGGAAGGAGTTGGATGGAGAAAGAGTTGGATAGGGGAGGAAGGAGTTGAATGGGGAAGGAGCTGAATAGGGAGGGCGAAGGAATGGGGAAGGAGTTGGATGAGGGGGAAGGACTTGAATGGGGAAGGAGTTGGATAGGGGAGAGGGAAGGAATGGGGGTGTTGGATAGGGGAGGGAAGGGAAGGGGGAGGAGTTGTATATGGAGGGTGTGTGTTTGAATTGGATAGGGGAGGGGGAAGGGGTTGGAGTAGGGGAGGAAGGTGGGGAGAAGGCCAAAGGGAAGGATAGGGGAAGGAGGGAGGGAAGGAATGGTAAGGAAGGAAGGAAGGAAGGAAGGAGAAGAGGATGGGAAGGGAAGGGTAATGGAAAGAAGGAAGGGAAGTTGGAGGGAAGGGAGGAGAGCTATGGGAAGGGAAGCAAGAGAAGGGAAAGTGGGGGAAGAATGGAGAGGGGGAGGGAAATGCAAAGGAGGAAGACAGTGAAAGAGGAAGGTGAGGGAGGGGGGATAAGTGGTGAAATGATCAAGGGAGTGGAAGGAAGGAAAGGAAGGACGGGGCAAAGGGGGGAGGGAGGGAGGGAAAGAGGAATGATGGGAAGGGAAGGGAAGGGAGAGGGAAGGAAGGAGAAAGCCTAGCCCCCTCCCCATCCCCAGAGCAGGTTTTCCTGCCAGGGAGCTGGGGTGGGCACTCAAGTTTTTCTCCTTACGTGGAGGGGGGGCTCCCGATTGGGATGACCGCTGTTCCTCTTCAGGCTGCCATTCACCAGGTTCTTTGTGTCCGCCTGGTCTTCAGCTTGTCTCCTTGGCGGATCTGTGGTGGCCATCGTCTCCCCCTCCCCCCCGGCACTCACCCTTCTGCCCTCCCTCTGCCCCCCCCTGCAGGTGATGAGCATCCTGAGCAACCCCAGCGGAGTGGCCCCCCAGTCCCAGGCCGACTTCTCCCTCTCCCCCCTGCACGGCAGCCTGGAGAGCGCCAACGCCATCTCGGCCAGCTGCAGCCAGCGCAGCGACTCCATCAAGTCCGTGGACAGCCTGCCCACCTCCCAGGCCTACTGCCCCCCCACCTACACCACCACAGGCTACAGCGTGGATCCCGTGGCCGGCTACCAGTACGGTCAGTACGGCCAGAGTGAGTATCCTTCCGTCTTCGGCTCTCTCCCCCCCCTCCCTCTCCCGGGGAAAGAGGGAACGCCTGGCGGGTTTCACCCCTTGGTGGTGGGAGGGAGGGGGCTGCACTCCTGCCTAATGGGCTTCCCCAGAAACCCCAAGGGTGGGGGGTGTCTGCTGGAGGCCTTTGGGACATCTGAGGCGGCCTCTCGTGTCAACCAGCGCCCCCAAATCCCACCTGGCCTTGCCTACTTTGGGGAGGGGGAGATGCCTTTGATCCCTCCCCCCTCCCAGTATCTATGGAGATTCTCATTCACCCAGGTCAGGGGTCTTCAAACTCGGCCCTTTTATGACTGGTGGACTTCAACTCCCAGAATTCCTAAGCCAGTCCTAAGGGGCTGGCTGAGGAATTCTGGGAGTTGAAGTCCACCAGTCATAAAAGGGCCGAGTTTGAAGACCCCTGATCCAGGTCCTGGTGGTCCCAAAGGTGCTTTTTCATCTTTGGACTTTGGGTTTTCCTTGAAGACGTTTCGCTTTCTTATCCAGGAGGCTTCTTCCGTTCTGACTGAATGGTGGCATGGATTCATTCAGAACTGAAGAAGCTTCTTGGATAAGAAAGTGAAACGTCTTCAAGGGAAAAAAAACAAGATTGGACACCCGCCCCCTCTTCTTCTTCCCAAGAGGAGAGCCTGCCTTGCGTTCAGGGGCTCTGAAGCTCTGAGGTGGGTGGGGGGCAACCCCTAAGGACCCCCCTGGACCAGGCAGTGAGTGCCCCTGGCCCCTTCTACAGCGATGGGTGGCTCGGCTCCCCTTTTGCCATCCCTTGGTCCTGGAGCTGTCCTGGTCTTTGACCTGGTGGTGTTTGGGGCACCCCCGTTTCCCCTCCCCTGAGGGCCCCCCCCAATTGACCTCTGGGTCCCCCTTTTCCTTTTAACGCGCTTCCCTTCCCCAAATGAGAAACGGCTGCCTGCGAGGGAGGGGGATATGAACGCTCCCTCACCTCTTCTTCCCCCCCTCCCCGTTTCTCTCTTGGGGAAGAAGCCCCCTCCCCAAAGTTTGGCCTATAACCCCCCCCCCTCGACCTTCCTCTCGCTTCTGGTGGGGAAACCCAGCCACAGATGGAAGTGATAAAAATCTTAAACAAATTCCAGGGCAGAGAGATGCCCTCCAGGCCCAGCCTTAGTCAACCCGTAGATGGGCCTGTCTTTGTGTTATGCACGTTGTGTGTTTGTGCAGGGCTAAGGACAGGAGGGGAAAATAACCCCCCCAAAAAGAGGAAATGCATTTGGAGAGGTGGGGGGGCCCAGATCTTTGGATAAGGGGAAGCGACCTGCCTCGCCCCTCTCCCAAGCTGGCAGAAGAATTTAGCAAAGGCGGCACCTGGCAAAATCTGATTTAAACCCGGAGGGGCTGGGATGCCCTGCCAGCCTCGGCTTTGGGCCCCTGGGACCCCCTGGCTCACCCTCAGGAGTTGAAGAAGCCGCCCTCCCAAGGGGGCCCTGAGCCGGCAGCCCCCTCCTCCCTGAGTCAGCAGGCAACCGGTCTTTGGCCGGGTGGACTTAAAATCTGTCCTTTTCTGCTCAGCCTTTTTTTTGCCAGCCATGGGCCCAAGCTTGAAGCTTTAGAGAATAGAATAAATAGAATAAAGAATAGAATAGAATAGAAGAGAAGAGAAGAGAAGAGAATAAGAAGAGAAGAGAAGAGAAGAGAAGAGAAGAGAGAATTGAATAGAATATAAAATATAATATAGTATAGAAAGAATAGAATAGAATGCAGACTAGAATAGAATAGAATAGAATAGAATGCAGAATGGAACGGAATGGAACGGAATGGAATAGAATAGAATAGAATAGAATAGAATAGAATAGAATAGAATAGAATAGAATAGAATGAAGAGAGATTGAAATGGAATGGAAGGGAGGAGAAGAGAGGAGAAGAGAAAAGAGAAGAAGAGAAAGGAAGAGGGAATAGAGAGGGAATAGAATTTGAGTGGAGTGGAGTGGAATAGAATAGAATAGAATAGAATAATAAGAAGAGAAGAGAAGAGAAGAGAAGAGAGAATTGAATAGAATATAAAATATAATATAGTATAGAAAGAATAGAATAGAATGCAGACTAGACTAGAATAGACTAGACTAGACTAGAATAGAATGCAGAACGGAACGGAACGGAATGGAATGGAATGGAATAGAATGAAGAGAGATTGAAATGGAATGGAAGGGAGGAGAAGAGAGGAGAAGAGAAACGAGAAGAAGAGAAAGGAAGAGGGAATAGAGAGGGAATAGAATTGGAGTGGAGTGGAATGGAATGGAATAGAATAGAATAGAATAGAATAGAATAGAATAGAATAGCAGGAAGGGACCTTGGAGGTCTTCTAGTCCAGCCCCCTGTTCGAACAGGAGACCCGCCTAGACCATCTGAGAGAAGTGACTGTCCAATCTCTTCTTAAAAACTTCCAGTGATGGAGCGCCCACGATTTCTGGTGGCAAGCCGTTCCACCAGTTGATTGTCCTCCCTGTCAGGAAGTTTCTCCTTAATTCCAGGTTGCTTCTCTCTCTCCTTGATCAGATCTTAGTTCTCTTTAATGACATCCCAAGCCCACCCTCCTTCCCGGCCCTGGGCCTTAGCTGTGCCCACCGTTGCCCACCTCCTTGCTCCTGACTCGCCGAGGAAGAGTGCCAGTCTGGAGAGTTTTAGCTGGTCCCAGAGGCCAAAAAGCTACACTAATGATGGCGCTTATGGAACGCGGAGGCGTGAAAAAAATTCCTAATGGATGTGACAAGTCTAATAAGAATTTTTGCTTGGAAGGGACCCCCCTTTGGGGAAGGCTGCATGACAGGACGCTGACGGCTGAAATTTGTTTACTTGCTGGCACCGAGTGGGGCTCTCCGCGCAATTCTTATTAATCTAATTTGAGACTGAAGAATTGCGGGCATGTGTGTGTGTGTGTGTGTGTGTATGTGTGAGGGGGCCGTGGGGAACATGCAAAAAAAAATAAATATTTGACTGAAGCTCAGCTAACAGAGAGTGTCACCGTTGGGTTCCTGGGTGCCCAGTCAAAATAAATGCAAAAAATATATTTATTTTGGCCCGCCGTCGAGATTGCAAGGGGTTCGCTCTCTCTAGCAGAAAACAAGTCAGTAGTTTCAAATGTTTCAAATCCTGTCGTTAGTTTGATCCGCGCTTTCTCAAATTGTGAATTTAGCACTGAATGCAACTGTGGTTTTTATGTCAGCCGAGCTACCAAATCTCTTTATGTTTAATTAATTCAGGTTTTTCTAACACCCTTATGATATTTATTTGGGGGGGGGGGGAGAATTAAAAAGAAACTTCTAAGGCATAAGAGTCCACCCTTGGGGACTTTAAGACTTTTGGACTTCAACTCCCAGAATTCCCCAGCCAGCATAGCTGGCTGGGGAATTCTGGGAGTTGAAGTCCAAAAGTCTTAAAGTCCCCAAGGGTGGGTACCCCTGTTCTAAAAGATTGGAAGCTGGAATCAGACTGCTTATTACCTCTACTATAAAGATAACATGAAGTCTGAATTCCAGCTTTGGAAATCTTTTTCTCCCTTAGCAGATTACAGCTAACAAGTCCCTTTTACAATATGTTTCACTTAAGTAATTCTATTATGGTTTAAAGTCAATCTTTCTTTCCAGTTTACTAATCAGTAGCCTCGCTCCCTCTTCAGCCCATTAAAACACTGATTTTTATATCGGAAATATAAGATCGGGGGGGTTCCTCATGTGGCATTCTTACAGAGCAAAAAGGGAAGGGATGTTAATTTTAATTTTAATCCATGCCAACCGCATCTGCTGGCGCCAGATCCACCAGTTGCTGCAATCCACCCACATTCGCTTAGGGAGATGCAGGGCAGAATAGGAATGCAATAAAAATTAAATTGAATGAATCTGACGCTCCTGCTTTGTCCCCTCAACTGGATCCCTGTCTTTACCCCCTTGGGAGCTGGCTTCTAAACGTGGCTGATTCCTGCCCTCCCCTTTGCAAAATTCCCCCAGAATTATTCAGTAAGGATCAATTTCGCAACGGGGGGGGGGGGAATTGCACCCCTAAGCTGGGAAGGCATCCGGGGCGACGTTCTCCTGCTGAAGCTCTGTCAACAGTGGCAAATTCTGGGAATTAAAGTCTTAAAGTCCCCAAGGGTGGATACCCCTGTTCTAAAAGATTGGAAGCTGGCATCAGACTGCTTATTACAGTGATGGCGAACCTATGGCACGCGTGCCAGAGGCGGCACTCAGGGCGCTCTCTGTGGGCACACCTACTGCCACCAGCTCACGCAGGTCCATTAGGCCACTGCTGGTGCCAGGAGCGTCAGCCCCACCCAGCACAAAGGAGGCCAAGCAGCTGGCTAGCAAGCTTGAGTAGAGGTGGTAGAGTGCGCCCCCGTGCGCTCGCTGGCCTGTGTGTGCGGGGGCTGATGGTGCCCTCGCCTTGCTCCGCAGCAATGGCACCCCCGCCCTACCCCCCTGCCTCACCCCACAGGACGAGCCTCCTGCCCACCGCCCCACCCACCAGAGACCCCCTGGATCTCCCCCAATCCTGCCCAGACCCCCCAGGCGTCTCCCCCACGAGCAACATCAAGGTGGCCACGCCCACCCCGGCCACGCCCACTCAGTCTGTTCTGACCATTACAGCCACCCCCACCCAGTGGGCCACCCCCACCCCCCCATGAAGGCACCACAATGCTGATGCGGCCCTGGCACTTTGCGATAAATAAGTGGGTTTGGGGTTGCAGTTTGGGCACTGGGTCTCTAAAAGGTTCGTCATCACTTTATGTTTAATTAATTCGGGTTTTTCTAACACCCGTACAATATTTATCGGGGTGGGGGGGAGAATGAAAAGAAACTTCTAAGGCATAAGAGTCCACCCTTGGGGACTATGCTATGCTGGCTGGGGAATTCTGGGAGTTGAAGTCCAAAAGTCTTAAAGTCTCCAAGGATGGATACCCCTGTTCTAAAAGATTGGAAGCTGGAATCAGACTGCTTATTACCTCTATTATAAGGATAACATGAAGTCTGAATTCCAACTTTGGAAATCTTTTTTTCTCCCTTAGCAGATAATAGCTAGCAGGTCCCATTGCGCCAGAGGGACTTGGTGGAAGCGGGAAGGCACCTGTTGCAAGGTTCACCTGTACATCGCCTTATTTATTTTTCTCTCTCCCTTTCTTTTGCCCCCGCTAGCTGCCGTGGACTACCTGACCAAGAACGTCAGCTTGTCCACACAGCGCCGGATGAAACTCGGGGAACATTCAGCCGTGCTGGGGCTCCTACCGGTCGAAACAGGCCAGGCCTACTGAAGGCTCCTTCCTGGGGTCCCCCCACCCCCAATCTCTGCCACCAAGGAAGCAAAATGGAAAAAAAAAAACCAAGAAAAAAAAAACCCCACTATAACTGCCAAACTTTCTGGGACCATCCTCCGTCCACCACCGGCTTTTCCCTTCGGAGACTCAAAGGACCAAACTCTTCCCAACTTTGCCTCCATCCCAGAGGCCCCACTGATTCCCCCCCTGCCCCCCAATCCTTGTTCTGTGTCCCAACTCCAGAGACGCTGAGTTTGTCAAGGACTTTTCTCAAGTGGGACCTCGGTGGCCAAGGCGGTGTCCTCCCAACGCTCCAGATGTTTCCATCGTTGTGACTGCTTGGCAGAGTCAACCTGGAAGCTGTTTGCTTCGTCATTATATAGCTAGATAGATACCGATATATTCTTTGGCTCACCTGCCCTCCCACCCGTGTGCCCCCCCCATCCCCATCATTTTTATTATAGTACATGATCAGTAATACACGGAAGAAGCCCGCCGATCCAAGGACCACGGGCGGGAGAGGGGGGGAGGGCTGCTTTGGACCAAATACACACAGTGTCAAGAAGCAAGATTGAAAAAGCTAACCACACACTTTGATCCTGGTTGGAAGAGGAGAGAGAGTTGCTATGTCTTGTAAATACGTTCATCTCTGCTCCGGGGGAAGGAAGTCCGGTGGGGAGTGGATCCGGCAGATTCAAAGAAAGCTCTGGGTTCCATCTTGAGTCATCTTCGCAAGGGCCACCTCCGGGTGCCTCAAAAGAGGGCAGATCCAGGCTCGTGTCCAGAGGCCTCTTCTTTGGGGAAAGTGACTGGTTCCCACTGTTTGGAAGCCCCCCCTGTCCAAGAGGAGAAAATTGGGGAGAGGGGATTAGGGAAGACAGAAAAATGGCATTCACACACACACACACACACTCATGACTTGAGTTGGTAGCAGGTGGCATCTTATCTCTGGAGGCTTCCTGGTGTGCAAAACATCTCCAAAATGGCATTTTTTCCCCCCAGCCATTTGCCCGTCCCTTGGAAATAAGAGGTGACCCAAAGGCTGACCAGGTTCCTGCCTGCTGCAAGACCACTAACCCAGATTGAGAAGGACAGCTTGGAGGAACAAGCCCCGGCTTCAGACGCTCACCCAGCAGGGAACCATGGGTTCCAGGGTGCATCTGTGATGGCCCTGGGGCACACTTCGGCGCCTGTCTGCTCCCACCCACTTCCGTGGCATTTTCTAACCAGCATGTTGCCACTTCCTTCTTTTAAAACCACAATTGTCTATTGCACTCTAAAATTAAGAGGTGGCAAAGTGGGCAGAGAATGATAAAAAGACTGGGTTACAAACAAACCTGGAAAGTCCCTTCTTCCAAGCCAGCATCCCACCTGCTCTTAGCTCCTCGTTTGGGGGCCTGTGGAGAAAGTAAGCGCTTTGGCTACACATCCAGCCTGTATTGCTCAAGGAAATCTGATTTTTTCAAGATTTTAGGGCTTTGGAAAGATCCCTCTAAAGAGAGGTAAATAATGCCACGTTGTTTACAGTTTCAACAAGGGCATCGTGACCTCCTGATCCAGCTCCTCTGTACCCAAAGGACCAACCACAGCTGGCCCTTGAGGATGACCCAGGCTCATTTTGCATTCCCATGTTTTCTAGATCCTAAATAGATCTAAAAAATAGATCCTAAATCGAATTCACCTGGAGTGTCAAATATAGCCTGGCAGAGTTAAGTGTTGGCAGTGTGGGTGCTGGCTGACCAGGGCGTGACAATTTTCCTTTTTTTGGAGAAAAAAAACTTGTAGCCCAAACTAGCCAACTTAACAAACATGAAGGAAATCAGGCTAGTCCTAGTTGCCATCTCTCTTTGCCTCAAGTGTACAAGCATTTAAACCACCAGTGTACAATAACTGCAGCTATTAAAAATAAAAGCAGAACCACAGAGCGGCTGATCTACCGAAATGTTCTCCTTTGATCAGATCTACTGGAAGGAAGCAAACTTGTCCTGATTTTTACTTTATTATTAACACCCACACGCTGTTTTGGTTTTTTTAAAAAAAATAACACCCAAGTATAGGAGTAGAAGTATATAGAAATATGCATCCGTTAGAGTAATGGCTTCGGAGGCAGAGAAGCACGAGAGCTTTTTACGTTACCGTTTGCTTTTAAAACACTTCGGCAATGCTTCCGCAACGTTTATTAAAGGCGGGGAGACTGTTAGCTGCTTCTGCTATTTATTTTTTTTAATGCATTTTAAAATTATTAGTGAAAAGGAAAAAAAAGGAGGTGGGCCATTGCTTTGAGCAGGATTTTTCCTGCATGCCTCAAATCAATCAGATTCGTGGGCTGTTGTCTACGCGGCGGCCTTCACTCATCCTTGTGAGTTTTCCCAGGATGGGCCGTAAGGTTTATTTATGACTCTTTAAAAAAAAAACCAAGAGTTTTGCCCCACTGGGCCAGTTCAGTGGGTCAACACAGCTCCTCTCAAGAAAACCCAAGGAAGTCTTTGCAGTTGAGCAAAAGCCATCAAAGTGGTTTCCTCCATTTTTCTTTCTTTACTGTTTTTGTTTTTTTGCTTATCTTCTGGGACTTGGGAAGAAGTGGAAAACAAGCCACCCCTTCCCATTTTTAGCAGACGCCCCGCTTCTCTGGCTGCGCCCCGACTTTTCTCAAGTCTCCTCAAGGGCTCTTATGGCTTCACTTGACTTTTGACTCTGGATCTCACCACAGCTCTGTCGCTCACGAGCAAAATTGCACACGAATGGCCATCGCCCGCCGGGTCCCCTCACCGGTTTGGGCAAGAGACCCCCTCCCCACAGATGGTGAGACCACCCGATCCTGTTGGATTTCCGCCGCTCGACCTGCTACCTTGACCTTCTGTGCTTAAAAGGAACAAAAATTATTCGGCAAACTTTCCTACCCAAATCGCTTCTCTCCAATCAAACCCTGTTCTTGAGAATCAAGGCAACGACGGCCACACAAATCCAAGTCTGATGATCATTCCAGGAACTCAGGTTGCGTCTTCCCTGCGCCCCCCACCCAAAAAAAACCCTGGTCCAAAAATACAGGTGCACCACCAACTCATTCCCTGTCCCACTTCTTTTCAAGGGGGGGGAGAGAATAGATCTGCCCCACCGTAAAAGCTTTGAAAGGAGAAACTGGGAACGCTTCCACTGTCCCCCATTCACCTCTCCAAAGTGTCATTCCAAGAACTGTTGTGTATTTTTTATTTTTATTTTTTTCTATATCCCCACTGGATCCCAAATCCCTGGGGAGTTGGGGAAGGGGGGGGTGAGACACGTATCGCTGAGGACATTTTGTGTATTTAATGTTTCTAATTTTCCAGCCCTAACAACATCATATACCCAAGCTATTACCCCTAGCACATGCCTTTATTAGTAGTAATTGCTGATTCGTTGCTTCTGTGTTCCAGTCCATAGCTAATTTTGCTCCACGTGTATGCTTGTGGCCGGGCAAGGGTGCGAAAGAGGACGGAGGTGTGCGTGTGCACGTGTGTCAGTAAGCATGAGTATTAATCGCCCCCATAATTTATTCAGCTATATGGAATAGTAGAATAGAGAAACAAAAACTGGTATTGCTCTAATCCTCAGCTGCCTGTGGTGTCCTTCTATGTAACTCAGGCATAACTGTTATACATTAAAAAAAAAGAAAGGAAAAAAGCGAAACCTGGCTCTGGAAGTGTCTTTTTCTCTTCTTATTTCATCCTTGGGAACACCTGGGAAGAGAACCCCAAAATAGGGCACCCCACCATCAAACCTTGGCGAGCAAAAAAAAAAAAAAACACCCCAAGACAGCTTGGCAATGTTGTTCAACCAATTTGCTAACGCCGGTGCCAATCAGAATAAAATTTGGAGCAGGCCATTTGTGACCTGAGATAACATTTCAGGATGTCTCCTTTGAAAAGAAATAAGTCTGTCCATGCTGGGACAGTTCGTTTAAATAGAAAGAAGTGGATAAGTTCTACAGAAATTGGGTAAATAATAATAATAATAATAATAATAATAATAATAATAATAATAATAATAATAATAATAATAATAAAGTTGGAAGGGACCTTGGAGGTCATCTAGTCCAACCCCCTGCTCAGGCAGGAAACCCTATACCATTTTGGACAAATGGCTGTCCAGTCTCTTCTTAAAAACCTCCAGTGTTGGAGCATTCAGAGCTTTTGGAGGCAGGTGGTTCCACCGGTTAATTGTTCTAACTATCAGGAAGTTTCTCCTTAGTTCTAGGTTGCTTCTCTCCTTGACTAGTTTCCATCCGTTGCTTCTTCTCCTGCCTTCAGGTTTCTTTGGAGAATAGCTTGACTCCCTCTTCTTTGGGGCAGCCCCTCAGATATTGGAAGACTGCTATCCTGTCCCCCCTTCATTAAACTAGACATACCCAATTCCAGCAACCGTTCCTTGTATGTTTTAACCTCCAGTCTCCTGATCATTTTTGTTGCTCTTCAAAGTTGTACAAACTTGAAAATGTGTGGCCGTTTTCCTCTCTTTAACAATAACGTGGGGAAAAAACGACAGAGGTTTCTCTTGGGGCCAGTGGTGGTGTGCTAAGGGAAAATAAATAAAGAATTGGGAAGTTGCTAAATGTAAAGGAGGGAAAACCAAAACTGGAACGGCAATCCGAAATTAGAATTTATGAAATTAGAATATATTTTTTGGATTGCATTGTCCAAAATGTTGAGGCTGTTGCTAAATTAGGCACTGCGCGTCTCTGCTTGGGAATTAACATTTAGGATTGTTATTTTTTACTTGAGCAGTAAGACAGCTTCCCTGATTTCAAACCCCCTCCCCACCCCTTCCTCACCATCCTAATTCAGAGTGAGAATTTAGGCAAGTTGCCTGGAGACATGCACACACAACAAAGACCCCCCTGACTCTAAATAAAATGGAAGTCATTGCCCACCCTGATCAGGTAAGTCCTGATTTCACAAACTGCTGGTTTAGGGTCTCCCAGAGATCATTTAGCCCATCCCTGCCCCTTTGCAGGAGGTATG